CAGGGCAGGGCAGTGTGGAGAGAGAAACAGAGGGGGGTGGAGGGCGTGGGTGTGTGGGTTATCTGTCTGTTTCGTGGACTCGGATTTGGGGAGAGATTTTTACCGGGGGTTTATTGGATATTTGCGGGGGATTAAGAGGGGTGCGAGGGTTATTTGGCCCTGGGCTGGGCTGTAGGGATTGGTGGATCCGGCGCGGTAATCACGCGGCGGGAGCGGAGGCGGTGGACGGGTTCGCACCGGGTTCCTCTGAATCTGTTGGCGCCACGGCCGCGTGGCGCTGGGTGGAAAAGGGGAAAGCGGGACAGGGATGCAGCGAGGCGGTGCGGTGCGCGGCCGGCGACGCGTCCAGATCTTTTCCTCGCCGCCGGCCCCGGGTTTACGCAGACGACTTTTGGAGGAGCTTCCGGAGTGAGCGGTGGAGTGGTTTTGACCCGTGAGTAAGTGAGGGTGGGTAAGTATGTTCCCGGGTGAATAGCTGGATCAGGTCGTTGGTATCCCATAATTGTGTACGCCCGTGTATATGAGCATTTGTGTCTGTATTGATATTAAAACAAATTCAACGCACAACCCCAAATGGGTTAGGGTAAACGGATAGAATAGACCCTTCAACGTGCGGGGGCAAACGGACATTCGTCTATTTTCTATCCGCTTTCGATCCTTTCCCGGCCAAACTTTGGACCGAGTTTGCGGCCGAACGGACACCCGCGGACGGGCGGGGCGCGTGCCTTTGTCCTGCCCTGGCCTGCCCGTCGGGGACACAGACCCCCCATCCCTTTTCTCTTCCTCTACTTCCCTCCGCCCTCTGACATTGTCGCCGCCACCATCGTCCCCAGCCGCGTCGCCTTCCACCAGGGTCGTTCGAACCACCACCACACCATGCCATAGCTGTCTCACACCGGCATTCCGAAAAGCATTTTGCCGGCGTTCGTGGTTCTTTGTTGCCAGTGGGAGAGAAGCTACGGCCGTCGCCGTCGCCCTCGTCCCCAACCTCTTCATCAGGCAGGCCGTTCGTTGTCGCAGGACGCCCACCAGGACCACCGACCACCAAAACCTTGCTCTGCTGCTTGCGTGGGGAGCACGACGTGCATTATCAGGTCGTGCCTCCAGCCCGACCGCAAGGTGTGAAAGTGCTACTTATCGACTAGAGGGGGTGAATAGGTGATTTTTATGAAAGTCTTCAAAACACAAGGTCTTTGAAGACAAACAATAAAAATGAACATATTGATATGCAGCGGAAGGTAGACTACACTAACAAGCCATAGTCAAGATTGCAATGAAGTGAAGGCAGGAAGACTATCAGCAACTAGGTAGTAAGGATCAGGATGGAAGACAGTATGAAACCAAACAGTAAACAGTTTTCACTCAGTGAAGTCAATCAGATCATGCAGGCAATTAATGATTTCACGAAGACAAACTGTAAAGTAAAGGAAAGCGAAGGATAGAACCAGTTATTTGGTGAAGACAAGGAGTTGGTAGACCAGTTCCAGTTGATGTAACAACTGTAAGTCTGGTTAGGGAGACTGAGATTCAACTCAGAAGACCGCGTCTTCACCTTATTCCCCTTGAGTTAAGGACACCCAGTCCTCGCTCAATCACTCTGGTAAGTCTTCAAGGTAGACTTCTAAATCTTCACAGACTTCGTTCACCGGCGATCCACAATGATTCTTGGATGCTCAGAACGCGACGCCCAACCGGCTGGAGGATTCACAGTCCTCAAGTATAACAAGTCTTCAGGTCACGCACACAGAAAGACTTCAGTGATGCCTAATGATACATCTCCATCGTATCTACTTTTTCAAACACTTTTGCCCTTATTTTGAACTCTAACTTGCATGATTTGAATGGAACTAATCCGAACTGACGTTGTTTTCAGCAGAATTGCCATGGTGTTATTTTTATGCAGAAATAAAAGTTCTCGGAATGACCTGAAAATCAACGTAGAAAAATTCTGGAATATATAAAAAATACTGGCGAAAGAATCAAGGCCAGGGGGCACACCCTGTCCACGAGGGTGGGGACGCGCCCCTGCCTCGTGGGCCCCCTGGTGCTCCACCGACCTCAACTCCAACTCTATATATTCACGTTCGGGGAGAAAAAAATCAGATAGAAGGATTCATCGCGTTTTACGATACGGAGCCGCCACCAAGCCCTAATCTTTCTCGGGAGGGCTGATCTGGGGTCCGTTCGGGGCTCCAGAGAGGGGAATCCGTCGCCATCGTCATCATCAACCTTCCTCCATCACCAATTTCATGATGCTCACCGCCGTGCGTGAGTAATTCCATCGTAGGCTTGCTGGACGGTGATGGGTTGGATGAGATTTATCATGTAATCGAGTTAGTTTTGTTAGGGTTTGATCCCTAGTATCCATTATGTTCTGAGATTGATGTTGCTATGACTTGGTATGCTTAATGCTTGTCACTAGGGCCCAAGTGCCATGATTTCAGATCTGAACCTATTATGTTTTCATGAATATATATGAGTTCTTGATCTTATCTTGCAAGTCTATAGTCACCTATTATGTGTTATGATCCGTTAACCCCGAAGTGACAATAATCGGGACCACTCCCGGTGATGACTATAGTTTGAGGAGTTCATGTATTCACTAAGTGTTAATGCTTTGTTCCAGTACTCTATTAAAAGGAGGCCTTAATATCCCTTAGTTTCCAATAGGATCCCGCTGCCACGGGAGGGTAGGACAAAAGATGTCATGCAAGTTCTTTTTCATAAGCAGGTATGACGATATTCGGAATACATGCCTACATTACATTGATGAACTGGAGCTAGTTCTGTGTCACCCTATGTTATAACTGTTGCATGAGGAATCACATCTGACATAATTGTCCATCACTGATCCATTGCATGCGAGCTTTTCACATATTGATCTTTGCTTAGTTACTCTTTTGTTGCCACTGTTACAATTACTACAAAACTGCTACTGTTACCTTTGCCACCGTTACCACTACTATCATATTACTTTGCTACTAAATACGTTGCTGCATATATTAAGTCTTTCAGGTGCGGTTGAATTAACAACTCAACTGTTAATGCTTGAGAAAATTCTTTGGCTCCCCTTGTGCCGAATCAATAAATTTGGGTTGAATACTCTACCCTTGAAAACTATTGCGACCCCCTATACTTGTGGGTTATCAAGACTATTTTCTGGCGCCGTTGCTGAGGAGCATAGCTCTATTATTTGAGTCACTTGGGATTTATATCTACTGATCACTATGAAGAACTTGAAAGATAAAAGAACCAATATTTTTCCTTCAACTACGAGGGAAGGTAAGGAAGTGCCATCTAGCTCTGCACTTGATTCACCTTCTGTTTTGAGTAAACTTGCGACACCTACTCCTGCTATTCATTCTGATCTGTCGCATGTTATTGATGATGCCACTTCCGCTTTGCATGATACTTATGATGAAACTACTTCTATGATTGATAATACTGTGCCACTAGGTGAATTTCTTGATGAACAACTTGCTAAGGTTAGAGAGAATGAAATTATTGAAATTGATAATATTGATGAAAGTGATGATGAAGATTCTCCTCCTATATATGAATTGCCTGTTGTGCCTCAGGGTTATGTTATGGATGAAGAAACTGCTAGAGACTTTGTAGCTTGCAATGATATATATGATCTTAAGAAATTATTAGCTAAGCTGGAAGAAAAGTCTTTAAATGCTAGAATGAAATATGACCCTGCTTTTGCTACTTCGCCTATCTATATTTTCGATAAGGATTATGATTTCTCTGTCGACCCTGAGTTAATTACTTTGGTTGAATCTGATCATTTTTATGGCTATGAATCTGAAACTGTTGTGGCACATCTTACTAAATTAAATGATATAGCCACCTTGTTCACTAATGATGAGAAAACTCGCTATTACTTTATCCTTAAGTTGTTTCCGTTTTCATTAAAGGGTGATGCTAAAACATGGTTTAATTCTCTTGATCCTGGTTGTGTGCATAGTCCCGGGATATGATTTATTACTTCTCTGCTAAATATTTCCCCGCTCATAAGAAACAAGTTGACTTAAGGGAAATATATAATTTTGTGTAAATTAAAGAAGAGAGTCTCCCACAAGCTTGGGGGAGGCTTCTCCAATTACTTAATGCTTTGCCTGATCATCCTCTCAAGAAAAATGAAATACTTGATATCTTTTATAATGGACTAACTGATGCTTCCAGAGACCACCTGGATAGTTGTGTTGGTTGTGTTTTCAGTGAAAGAACAGTTGATCAAGCTAAATTGCTATTGAATAATTTGTTGAGTAATGAAAATGATCTGAACTAACTCCTAAGCCAACTCCGAAGAAAAGGGGTATTCTAT